ATTATTATCTGATCATCACCGAAAGATATAGGCGTTGTCCTTGACCATAACTGGAATCTCATGGAAATTTTCAAGGCGATCAGCGCTATATTTCCGCCCTCTAGTGTGGTTCGGGTTACTAAATAATGTCTGAATACGTAAGCACCTGTAAATATTTAAGTGTAGCTCCCACATCTGAGTACATACGTCCATATAATTGGTATTAATTTAAAGTTCAACCACTCCTTTTGAACATACTATCAACTTTTTGGGTCTAGGTCCTTCAGAGGTAAATATATACGCCATAGAATACAAATTTTGTCATTTTTCACACAAAAGTCAGGGTCTATTTGACCCGCTCAATATTGACCGATCTTTATCAAAACAGGTATGCGTTTTCTTTGGCCCGATCCCTTTCTCCCAGCAATTCGCGGTGTTTGAGCCATAATTGCGGCCTCTGGAGCGACCAGAAAAACAGACAAAAATAAAGTTTTTGGTCCATTTCATCCCCTAAATATTTACCGATCTTTTCCAAAAACAACAGGGGTCTTCATTGGGCAGAACCCATTCTACATGATAAAATTTCGTGAAGATTGGTCCATAACTGTGGCCTGTATCGTGTTTACAAATTATAATGGACAGACGGACACACATGTCTAGATCGACTTAGCTAGTCGAGATATGATGATCGGTATACTTAAAGGTGGGTCTAGGACCAATATTTCGCGGCGTTACAAACTTTTGGGGCTGCACAAAGCTATAATACCCTGACAACATAGTTGTGTAGGGTATAAAAATCCACGCCCGGATGTAGGTTCTTAAAAAAATATTTTAAAAAAATCCACGCCGGGATGTAGGTTCTTAAAAAAATATTTTAAAAAAATCCACGCCGGGATGTAGGTTCTTAAAAAAATATTAAAAAAAGATCCACGCCTTGTTGTGGGTCTTTAAAAAAAAATTAATAAAAAATCCACGCCTTGTTGTGGGTTCTTAAGAAAACCCACGCCCAGATGTAGGTCCTTAGAAAAATTTTTAAAAAAAAATCCACGCCCGGATGTAGGTCCTTAAAAAAATTTAAAAAAAACCCACGCCTTGTTGTAGGTCCTTAGAAAAATATTTAAAAAAATCCCCGCCCGGATGTGGGTCCTTAGAAAACTATTTATAAAAAAATCCACGCCTTGTTGTGGGTCCTTAAAAAATATTTTAAAAAAATTCACGCCGGGATGTAGATCCTTAAAAAATATTAAAAAAATCCACACCCGGATGTGGGTCCTTAGAAAACTATTTATAAAAAAATCCACGCTTTGTTGTGGGTACTTAAAACATATTTTAAGAAAATCCACGCCTTGTTGTAGGTCCTTAAAAAAATATTTTAAAACAATCCACGCCCGGGTGTAGGTCCTTAAAAAAATATTTAAAAAAACCCACGCCTTGTTGTAGGTCCTTAGAAAAATATTTAAAAAACCCGCGCCTTGTTGTAGGTCCTTAGAAAACTATTTGTAAAAAACCCACACCTTGTTGTGGGTCCTTAGAAAAATATTTGAAAATAATCCATGCCTGGATGTAGGTCCTTCAAAAAATATTTAAAAAAACCCACGCCTTGTTGTATGTCCTTAGAAAAATTGTTTAAAAAACCCACGCCTTATTGTGGGTCCTTAGAAAAATATTAAAAAAATCCACGACTTGCTGTAGGTCCTTAAAACAATATTTAAAAAAATCCACGACTTGTTGTAGGTCCTTAAAAAAATCCACGCCTTGTTGTGGGTCCTTAAAAAATATTTAAAAAAATCCACGCCCGGATGTAGGTCCTTAAAACAATATTTAAAAAAAATCCACGACTTGTTGTAGGTCCTTAGAAAAATATTTAAAAAAAAATCCACGTCTTGTTGTGGGTCCTTAGAAAACTATTTTTAAAAAAATCCACGCCTTGTTATAGGTCCTTAGAAAAATATTTTAAACCAGTAAGGAAAGTAGTAAAGTCGGACTGGGCCGACTATATGATACCCTTCACCACTTTGGGTATATTCTACATATGTATCCTAACAGACGACGCGTTTTTGTTATATATTTATATCTGAACCGATTTCAGGGAAAATTGCCAGATACAACTTTATATTACATCAGTACTTTGTGTCCATCGGCCTAGCTATGGATCTTTTCACGAAGCTTAACAACATCATTTTAGACTTAATTCAGTACCCTATACCAAAATTCGTGCAAATCGAAAGATATATAGGGTCTTTGGTGCACCAACTGCCATAAAGTGGATGAAAATATATATGGGAGCAATATGTAAATCTGAGCCGATTTTCACGAAACTTTGCACACATCATTGTAGACTTAATTTAGTACACTGTGCCAAATTTCGTGCACATCGAAAGATATATAGGGACTTTGGTGCACCATTTACCTTAAATCGGACGAAGATATATATGGGAGCTATATCTAAATCTGAACCGATTTTCGCGAAACTTTGCACACATCATTCTAGACTTAATTTAGTACGCTGTGCCAAATTTCGTGCAAATCGAAAGATATATAGGGACTTTTGTGCACCATTTACCTTAAATCGGACGAAAATATAAATGGGAGCTATATCTAAATCTAAACCGATTTTTACGAAACTTAGCACACATCATTGTAGACTTAATTCAGTACGCTATGCCAAATTTCGTGCAAATCGAAAGATATTTAGGGACTTTGGTACACCATTTACCTTAAATCGGACGAAGATATATATGGGAGCTATATCTAAATCTGAAACGATTTTTTCGAAACTTAGCACACATCATTGTAGACTTAATTTAGTACGCTGTGCCAAATTTCGCGCAAATCGAATGATATATAGGGACTTTGGTGCACCATTCACCTTAAATCGGACGAAAGTATATATGGGAGCTATATCTAAATCTAAACCGATTTTCGCGAAACTTTGCACACATCATTCTAGACCTTATTGATTACGCTGTGCCCAATTTCGTGAAAATCGAAAGATATTTAAGGACTTTGGTACACAATTTACCTTAAATCGGACGAAGATATATATGGTAGCTATATCTTAATCTAAGCGGATTTTCGCGAAACTTTGCACACATAATTCTAGACGTAATTTAGTACGCTGTTCCAAATTGCGTGCAAATCGAAAGATATATAGGGACTTTGGTGCACCATTTACCTTAAATCGGACGAAGATGTATATGGGAGCTATATCTAAATCTGAACCGATTTAAACGAAACTTTGCACACATCATTCCAAGCTTAATTCAGTACGCTGTGTCAAATTTCGTGAAAATCGAAAGATATATAGGGACTTTGGTGCACCATTTACCTTAAATCGGACGAAAATATATATTGGAGCTATATCTAAATCTGAACCGATTTAAACGAAACTTTGCACACATCATTCTAGACTTACTTTAGTACGCTGTGCCAAATTTCGTGCAAATCGAATGATATATAGGGACTTTGGTGCACCATTTACCTTAAATCGGACGAAAGTATATATGGGAGCTATATCTAAATCTAAACCGATTTTCGCGAAACTTTGCATACATCATTGTAGACTCAATTTAGTACGCTGTGACAAATTTCGTGCAATCCGAAAGATATTTAGGGACGTTGGTGCACCATTTACCTTAAATCGGACGAATATATATATGGGAGCTATATCTAAATCTGAACCGATTTTCACGAAACTTTGCACACATCATTCTAGACTTAATTTAGTACGTTGTACCCAATTTCGTGCAAATCGAAAGATATATAGAGACTTTGGTGCACCATTTACCTTAAATCGGACGAAAATATATATGGGAGCAATATCTAAATCTGAACCGATTTTTCCCAATTTCAATAGGGTTCATCCTGGGGCCAAATAAGTGGCTTTTGCTAAATTTCATCCAATTCGGATCGTAAATGCGACCTGTACTGTGTTAACAACAGACAGTACTTTGTTAACGGACAGACAGACGGACGGACAGACGGACATGCATAAATCGACTCAGAAAGTGATTCTATGCATATTCTCAAAAGGAACCATGTGGCTATCTCGATTATTTTTGCCTGTTACAAACATATGCGCATAGACATAATACCCTGTACCACAGTGTGGTGAAGGGTATAAAAATCCACGCCTGGATGTAGGTCCTTAGAAAAATATTAAAAAAAAACTCCACGCCTTGTTGTAGGTCCTTAGAAAAATATTAAAAAAAAAACTCCACGCCTTGTTGTGGGTCCTTATTTTTTTTTTAATCCATGCCTTGTTGTTGTTGGTCCATGCCTTGTTTCAGGTCCTTGGAAAAATATTTTAAAAAAATCCACGCCTTGTTGTAGGTCCTTAGAAAAATATTTTGAAAAAATCCACGCCCGGATGTAGGTCCTTAAAAAATATTTTAAAAAAATCCACGCCTTGTTGTGGGTCCTTATTTTTTTTTTTTTTTTTTTGTAAATCCATGCCTTGTTGTTGTTGGTCCATGTCTTGTTTTAGGCCTTTAAAAATATATTCTTAATCCAACCCTCGCTGTGGGCCCTGAAAATTATTTATATTTTTTTGTTTATATTTGAAATAGTTCTGAATTTTTTTACGACAAATTTGAAACTTATTTAAGTGATTTATAATAATACCTAATTATGGAATATTAGAATACCATGCAATTCAATAATTATTTAATAATCATTTTCTAATGTTTAGAAACCCCCCTACAAAGCATATTCAAAATAGATTTCACTTTCTATTCAGTATTGATTAGTGGTGGTACTTAAAATGGTGTATATGAAAGTATACCTATTTTCCCTATTACTAATTTTCGAAACAAATTCTATTTTTGGTAAATATTTTTTGAATTCAATATTTTTTTTAATTTTTTTAATTTAAGCGAAAAAAAACATCCCAAATTTTCTCCTCCCAAGGTCGTCTTATGAATTTCACTGGTACCGAAGTGTCCTTCAATAATAAATATCTGAAAAATGTAACCACCTGGCTGGATGGGGGACTCCTCAATGTCGATTTCGAAACGGAACAAATGTTGGAATACGGTATTCGTGGGGCAATTGCCATACAAATTAAAATGCCCAATGCCAAAGATTTTCAACGTATGTTTGCCTACGATTTCGATTTGTGCCAGATGTTAAGTCAAATCACCAAGGGTAGCATTATAAGTGTATGGTATCGGAAACTATTGAAAAGTGGCAATATTATGGAAAATTGTCCAATCGCTAAGGTGGGAAGCTATTTTGAAATTTTTTTTGTTGTTTTCAATTCTCCGAAAAAGTATTTTTTTTTCTTCTGTTTTCAGGGTCATTATTATGCACATAATATAAGTTTGAATCCCGCCACTTTACCGGCCTTCTTAAGATCGGGCGATTATCAGATATCGTCATTGAATTATTATGGCAAACGAAAAACTAAATCCTATCAACAGGTAGTTCGCTTTGCCATTGGCTTTAAGATATATTGAAAACAAATTTGGTTTGGTTTGGGAATTGTATTTGGAAAACGAATGTCATAATTTAATTATTAAATGGTGAAGGTTCTGAAATTGTTGTGGTTTTATTTAAAAAAAAAATTAATTTTAATTGCATATAAGGCGTGGAGTTTTTAAAAATATTTTTATGGATCTAAGGCCTAACATGAGGCGTGGATTTTTAAAACATCCTGTTAACCACCCTGCATGAGGCGTGGATTTTTAAAACATCCTGTTAACCACCTAACATGAGGCGTGGATTTTTAAAACATCCTTTTAAGCACCTAACAGGAGGCGTGGATTTTTAAAACATCCTGTTAACCACCTAACATGAGGCGTGGATTTTTAAAACATCCTGTTAACCACCCTACATGAGGCGTGGATTTTTAAAACATCCTTTTAACCACCTAACATCCTTTTAACCACCTAACAGGAGGCGTGGATTTTTAAAACATCCTTTTAAGCACCTAACAGGAGGCGTGGATTTTTAAAACATCCTTTTAAGCACCTAACAGGAGGCGTGGATTTTTAAAACATCCTTTTAACCACCTAACATGAGGCGTGGATTTTTAAAAATAGTTTTAAACCCCTTCTTCATAAGGAGTCAACATTAGGCCTGGACTTTTTAAAAAATTATTCATAAGGAGTCACCAATATGTCTGGATTTTTATAAAACTGGATTTTTTAAAAATATTCATAAGAAGTCACCATTTGGTCTGAATTTTTTCCGTCCGTCCGTCTGTACATGTTAAATTGTAGACAAAGTACAGGTCGCATTTATGATTCGATTTGGATGAAATTTGTCACAGGTCACTTATTTGGCTCAAGGACGAACCCTATTGAAATTGGGAAAAATCGGTTCAGAATGATATGTGTTGATATGTGCTGAGTTTCATGAAAATCGGTTCAGATTTAGATATAGCTCCCATATATATTTTCGTCCGATTTAAGGTAAATGGTGCACCAAAGTCCCTATATATCTTTCGATTTACACGAAATTTGGCACAGCGCAATGAATAACGTCTAGAATGATGTGTGTTAAATTTCCTGAAAATCGGTTCAAATTTCGATATAGCTCCCATATATATTTTCGTCCGATTTAAGGTAAATGGTGCACCAAAGCCTCTAAATATATTTCGATTTGCACGAAATTTGCCATAGCGTAATGAATTAGGTCTCAAATGATGTATGTTAAGTTTCCTAAAAATCGGTTCAGATTTAGATATAGCTCCCATATATATATTCGCCCGATTTAATGTAAATGGTGCACCAGAGTCCCTATATATCTTTCTATTTGCACGAAATTTGGCATAGCGTAATGAATTAAGTCTAGAATGAAGTGTGCTAAGTTTCCTGAAAATCGGTTCAGATTTAGATATAGCTCCCATATATATTTTCGTCCGATATTGGGTAAATGGTGAACCAAAGCCCCTAAATATCTTTCGATTTGCACGAAATTTGGCACAGCGTACCGAATTCACTCTAGAATGATGTGCGCGAAGTTTGGTAAAGATCGGTTTAGATTTAGATATAGCTTCCATATATATTTTCCTACCATTTAAGGTAAATGGTGTACCAAAGTCCCTATATATATTTCGATTTCCACGAAATTTGGCATAGCGTAATGAATTAGGCCTAGAATGATATATGCTGAGTTTCATAAAAATCGGTTCAGATTTCGATATAGCTCCCGATTTTATGTAATTGGTGCATCAAAGTCCCTTTATATCTTTCGTTTTGAATGAAATTTGGCTTAGCGTAATGAATTATGCCTAGAATGATGTGTGTTAAGTTTCGTGAAAATCGGTTCAGATTTAGATATAGCTTCCATATATAGTTTCGCCAGATTTAAGGTAAATGAAGTAACAAAGTCCTTATATATCTTCCGATTTGCACAAGATTTGGCACAGCGTAATGAATAAGGTCTAGAATGATGTCTGCCAAGTTTCGTGAAAATCGCTTCAGATTTCGATATTGCTCCCATATATATTTTCGTCCGATTTAAGGTAAATGGTGTACCAAAGTCCCTATATATCTTTCGATTTGCACGAAATTTGGCATAGCGTACTAAATTGAGTCTATAATGATGTATGCCAAGTTTCGTGAAAATCGGTTCAGATTTAGATATAGCTCCCATATATATTTTTGTCCGATTTAAGGTAAATGGTGCACCAAAGTCTCTAAATGCCTTTCGATTTGCACGAAATTTGGCACAGCGTACTGAACTAAGCCTAGAATGATGTGTACAAAGTTTCGAGAAAATCGGTTCAGATTTAGATATAGCTTCCATATATATTTTCGTCCGATTTTATGTAAATGGCCCACAAAAGTCCCTATATATCTTTCGATTTGCACGAAATTTGGCATGGCGTACTAAATTGAATCTATAATGATGTGTGAAAAGTTTCCTGAAAATCGGTTCAGATTTAGATATAGCTCCCATATATATTTTCGCCCGATTTAATGTAAATGGTCCACCAATGTCCCTATATAGCTTTCGATTTGCACGAAATTTGGCACAGCGTAATGAATTAGGTCAAGACTGACGTGTGCTAAGTTTCCTGAAAATCGGTTCAGATTTAGATGTAGCTCTCATATATATTTTCGTCCGATTTTATATAATTTGTCCACCAAACTCCCTATATATCTTTCGATTTGCACGAATTTTGGTATAGGGTACTGAATTAAGTCTAGAATGATGTTCCTAAGCTTCGTGAAAAGATCCATAGCTAGGCCGATGGACACAGCGTACTGAAGTAATACAAATTAGTCTCTGGCAAGTTTCCCTGAAATCGGCTCAGATATGGATATATAACAAACACGTGACGTCAGCTAGGATTCATCTGTTGAATATACCCAAAGTGGTGAAGGGTATAATATAGTCGTCCCCGTCCGACTTTACTACTTTCCTTACTGGTTTTTAATTAATCATAAGGAGTCACCATAAGGCGTGGATTTTTTAAAAAAAATTTAAGGTCTTACAATAAGGCGTAGATTAAAAAAAAATATTTTTTAAGGTCATACAATAAGGCTTGGATTTTTTTGAAAAATATTTTTTAGAGTCACCATAAGGCGTGGATTGTTTGAAAAAATATTTTTAAGGAGGCTCGATTTTCCCACCACTCAAAATGTACAGGGTTCTATGGGTGGTATACGTACGGACATCAATCATACGCCACCCTTTACTTGTGGCAAATGGGACAAAGATAATTTAAGCAACCAATAGGCATTTTTATGGACCCATGTCAGACGTAAAAAAAAACTATTTTTCTACCTAATTTATTTTTAGAGATTACAAAATTTTTGTTTTTGTTTGTTATTCAATAATTCTCTTGACTATTATATAATTTTATGGCATAATCAGAGCCATGAAATTGCATAGTAAATATTAAATAATTACGATTAGAAATAAACAAAAACAACAAACTATTTTGTTTCGATATTCAATTTAAAATTATTCTTCAGCAAAGCACTCACATTAACGGCAGCTAACAATGATTTCGTTCAAATTCGGTTTGGTGGTAGTGTTACAAATTTTTCAAATTCAGGCTGGACTGGGTAAATATTTCAGTTTTTCATTTCATTAAATTTCCGAATTTAAAAAGCATACTCCCTAAAGGTCGCTTCATAAACTTCACCAGTACCGATGTGAATTTCAATAGTAAATATATGAAAAATATGACAGCCTGGGTGGAGAATGGCCTCCTCAATTTGGATGTTGAGACCGAACGCGATCTAGTCTATGGCCTACGTGGCAGTATTGCCATACAGTATAAAATGGAAAATTCGAAAACATATCAGCGTATATTTGCCTTCGAATATGACATTTGTAAAATGTTGAGCGAAATTTCAAAGGAAAGTATTATAACGAATTGGTTTCGTTCCGCTCTGAAATATGGCAATCTTATGGAGAATTGTCCAATAGTTAAGGTGAGATTTAAGTAACTGAGCATACATTTTTATTTGATGCGACTTCTCCTATCGACAGGGTCATTATTATATACGAAAATTGAATTTGAATGCGAAAAGCATGCCGGTGTTCTTTAGATCTGGCGTATATCAAATAGTATACAACACTTATTATGGCAAACGTAAAACGAAATCCTATGAACATGTCGTGCGGTTTGCTACGGGTATAAATATCTATTGAAAAAATTTGCTATGTTTTGAATGAAAAATAAAAGTTTGTTGGTATTGGCTGAAAATAGATTATGGGTAATATGTTTGTTAGAAATCGGACGAAAATATATATGGGAGCTATATCTAAATCTAGACCGATTTTTACGAAACTTGGCAGGCATCACTCAAGGCTCAATTCAGTGAGTTATGCCAAATTTCGTGCAAATCGAAAGATGTTTAGGGACTTTGGTGCACCATTTACCTTAAATCGGGCGAAACTATATATGGGAGCTATATCGAAATCTGAACCGATTTTCACGAAATTTAACACACATCTTTCTAGACTTAATTCAGTACGCTATGCCAAATTTTGTGCAAATCGAAGGATATATAGGGACTTTGGTACACCATTTACATAAAATCCGGCGAAAATATATATGGGAGCTATATCTAAATCTGAACAGATTTTCATGAAATTGAACACACATCGTTCTAGACTTAATTCAGTACTCTGTACCAAATTTCGTGCAAATCGAAGTATATATAGGGACTTTGGTGCACCATTTACCTTAAATCGGCCGAAAATTTATATGGGAGCTATATCCAAATCTGAACCGATTTTCACGAAATTTAACACACATCTTTCTAGACTTAATTCAGTACGCTGTGCCAAATTTCGTGCAAATCCAAAGATATATAGGGACTTTGGTGCACCATTTACATAAAATCGGGTGAAAATATATATGGGAGCTATATCTAAATCTGAACCGATTTTCATGAAATTGAACACACATCGTTCTAGACTTAATTCAGTACTCTGTACCAAATTTCGTGCAAATCGAAGTATATATAGGGACTTTGGTGCACCATTTACC